AATCTCTATTTGTGTGAAAAAAAGGACGTACATTTCATTTATGTATCTTTTTGCATGACCGTGAAATTGTCAGTTAAACTAGTGCAACGCTATATAGCAAAAAAATGGCATAAATTACAGTATCTATACCATAGTTTGTAGACGCTATAACTTTCACACAAAGCAATCAATATACACTTATTGGGATTTTTTTTACCAAAAACATGTAGTAGAACACATTTTGGTCTAAATTTATGACTAACTTTGAGTTTACTATAGATTTTTTATGGCCGAAAGTAAAAAAAATATAGTTTTTCTTGAAAATTTCCGGCCTTTTTTTGTTTATAGCACATAAAATAAAAAGCGCACAGGTGATCAAATACCACCAAAAGAAAGCTCTATTTGTGTGAAAAAAGGCCATAAATTTTGTTTGGGTATAGCATTGCATGACTGCACAATTATCAGTTGAAACAGTGCAGCACCAAACAGCAAAAAGAGGCCTGGTCATTCCACAGGATGGCAAGTGGTTAATTTTGGTTTGAAAGTCCTGTCGGTTGATGGGGCAAATTAAAGTATTTGAGTAACTGCCCACCCGTGTGTGTTTGGCTAGTTATTTCCCATACGTATGCTGCCACAAACATTTCAGATCAAATACTTACTGTAATTTTTCTTTCCTGATGGACTCCATGGCAGCAGTAATACCCTCCCAATGCCATGAGCAGGCTAGTTATGGAACACGCCCTCTGGCAAGGAGCAAAGATTTATGGGAGTGGGATCATATAGGAGAGGAGAGGGCAGGGCTAACCCATATATATGCTGCCATGCCACCAGGAAAGGAAAATTATGGTAAGTATTTGATAGGAAATTTTCAGTTTTTGTTGTTTTGCAGTCTGAAATTAAGGCAGATGCAGTTTTTGTTTTATCTATCTGTATTTATCTGTGAAACTTATAACATCCACGTAAATGATATAACACCAACATGTCAGAAAAAAATAATAGCCTTCTCAATGGCCATTTGACTTTCAACTGTGATCATCTGTGGTCATTTTGATTAGTTCAACATGAAAAAAAGGTTTTCTGGAGCATTTTGTCCCTAGCAGTGCAATTTAAGAAAACAGTCAACTATGGGTGGCAAGGCATGGTCAAAATATTTTCAGGATAAAGCTGTGGATAGGCACAAGTCAGGAGATGGACACAAAAAAATTCCAAAGGCTTTATCAATGCCTAGAAGCACAGTAAAGTATATGATTAAGAAATGGAAGATATTTTTTAGAACACAGACCCTCCCTGGATCAGGATATCGCTCCAAACTGGATCAAAGAGCCAGGAGAAAACTGGTCAGAAAGGTTACCAAGAGGTCTACAGCAACTCTGAACCAGTTGCAGGAATTTATGACAGAGTGGTCATTGTGTGCATGTGAAAGCAATATCACAAATTCTCCACAAATGTGGCTTGTATGGGAGGGTTGCAAGAAAAAAGCCACTCTTCAAGAAGGGCTACATACAGTCACCACTGAGTTTGCCAAAATGCATGTCAGATGATAATAAAATTGAAATTGTTTGGCCTCAACACTGGCGGAAATCCAATACAGGTCACCATCCAAATAACACCATTCCCACAGTAAAGAATGGAGGTGGTAATATCCGGTTATAGGTGGTTCTTTGCATCAGGGGCTGGAGCACTTGTCAGAATATAAGGAAAAATGGATGGGGCAAAATACTTTCAAATTCTTGAGAACAATCTGCTGCCCTCTGCCAGAAGATGTCAATGAGAAGAAGGTTTACCTTCCAACATGATAATGACCCAAAGCACACAGCAAAAAGGAACACATAGTGGTTGAATGAGAAAAAAGTGAATGTCCTATCATGGCTTAGTCTGGACGAAATCCAAATTCTTGAGGAAAATCTACTACCTTCCAACAGAAAGTTGTCAATGGGAAGAAGGTTTACGGTCCAACATGACAATGACCCAAAATGACAGTGGTTGAAGGAGAGAAAGGTAAATGTTCCCACATGGCCCAGTCAGAACCCAGACTTAAACCCCATTGAAAACCTGTGGAATGACTTGAAGACTGCAGTCAACAGTCGGCCACCGTCACATTTAACTGACCTTGGGCAGTTCTGCAAAGAAAAGAGGGCAAATATTGCAAAGTCTAGATGTGCAAAGTTAGCAGAGACATATCCCAACAGACTAATGGCTGTATTAAAGCAAAAGGTGATTCAACAAAAAACTGGCAAAGGGGGTGATCCTTTTTTCAACTCAGTGATTCTGTTATTTATTTTTTTTCTGACATGTTGGTGATATATCTTTCACTTGCATGTTAGAGGATGCACTGAGTAAATACAGCTGAATAAAACAACTGTTTGAATAAAGCAACTGTCTTAATTTGAGGCTGCAAAGCAACAAAATGTGATTATTTTAAGGGGGGGGTAGATTTTCCCACTTTAATTCTTAGGAACCATACCTGGATCCAACAGCAGTGGGGCTAGCTTGTAATGTTTATTTTGGGCACTGGATCCTACATTTGGTGCTCACCTTGGCACATGATGCAGCAAGTATAGTTAGCCATTGGGTGCTATACAGGTCCAGGGCCATGATCCATTCATATGGTAACCAGAGACCTTAGGGAAAAAGTCCACCGTGATCGGTGAGAGATTTGGATTCTTCTGGGAACCTGCAGCAGGCATATGGCAAACAGAGTTTCCCCATACTACAACTGGGTCCTGTTTTTACATGGGTGGTGTTAGTTACTGAGTGTGTTGTTCCCCTCCTGAAAATGTCTCTACTACATGGAGAGCAGTTAATGTTTTAAATTTGGTGTGCTTCCCATTTAGAATTGCTTTTTGGGTGTGTAATGTAGTTGCAAATGCCTTCTAGCTAACACACTTCTGCGTGCCATTTTTGCAGAAAACACAAGTTCATTAGCTGGTCTCCCAACTGCCTACCTTTCAGCAACACAGCAACAAGACATTGGTCAGAGCCTTGGGTATAGTGGTTGCTTTCCTTGACATAGCTCCCTTCCTCTAATTCTAGCTCCCTTTCAGACCCACAACAGACAACCTGACTAAGTCACTGCAACTATGTGTGATTCTATGGAAAACTCTCTGCCCTTTTATAGCCTTTGGTCTCCAGGGATCAAAAGTGCTCTTCTGCCTCTCCACCACCTGTATCCTACTCAGGAGCATGACCCTGACACTTCTAGCCTCTTTGAAGAATAGGCTGAAGAATGAGATGTGTATGCAGAAAAGTATCCTGCAGAGAAAATTTCACCTTCAGGGGCGGACTGACCATTTGGAAACTCGGGCCCGGGGTCAGTAGGGGGCCCCATGAGATGCCCTTGGTACCTTTTTCATAGGCTTTTTTGAGTTTGGGCAAGGGCACAGTGGCCCCATGAGTTCTCAGTCCGCCCCTGTTCACCTTGTGTATATTATGAGACACAAGCTAAGGCTTCAAACAATATACTTTCTAGTGAACACACTTATTGATGTAGTGTGTGCTAGCCATTGCCTAGCAGCACTGGAATCTCCTCAATCTAACAAGCTCCTATGGGCACAAAAAGACTTTTCCCTTGCGCATGAAAATAGCCTGTGCTTTGAAGGAAGATTGATCAAATCCTGAAAAGATATTCCCTTCTTGAAAACACTTTCCATAGTTATACTGTATAGTATGGAAAATAATTTTATGAGGTCTGTCTAGGTAGTATATCCTACCATTTCTCTTCTTAACAAGCTACTCACTGTTCCTGTTGAGAATACACACTTCTTAAACCACTTGCCCTCCGGAGGATTTACCCCCCGTCCTGACCAGGCCATTTTTTGCGTTACGGTGCTGTGTTACTTTGAATGACAATTGTGTGATCATGCAACGCTGCACCCAAATTAAATTTATGTCCTTTTTTTCACACAAATTGCGCTTTCTTTTGGTGGTATTTGATCGCCTGTGTGTTTTTTATTTTTTGCGCTATAAAAAAAAAACCTGACAGTTTTGAGAAAAAAAACAATATTTTTTACTTTTTGCTATTAAACATGTCCAGTAAAAAAATTTAAAAAATCAAATTTCATCACAAATTTAGGCCAAAATGTATTCTGCTACAAGTCTTTGCTAAAAAAAATCCCAATACATGTAAATTAATTGGTTTACGTGAAAGTTTTAGCGTTTACAAATGGCGGTATATATACTGGGGTTTTTTATTTTCAATTTTTACTAGTAATGGCGACTTATAGCGGGACTGCAGCAGGCATTCTGACACTGGGGTGAACTGACTTGGCGTCACTGACATCCCCAGTGACACCAATATAGTGATCAATGCTAATAAAAAGCACTGACATGGTACTAACGGCACTGGGCAGGAAGGGGTTAACATGTGGGGTGATCAAAGGATTAACTTTGTGCTGTTTTACTAGGGGCTGTGTGTCAGTGCTTCACTGTAAGCACACTGCTTTGCATGTCTGTGAGCAGTGTGCACAAGCTGACAGAGAGGAGAGTCTCCCCCCATCGGAGATGCTCAGCAATCACCGGGCACCAGTGAGTAATCACTGTCCGGGACCCAGTGACTGACAGCCACGGCCACTAATGGCGGCGCGGGTAGGGTGCGCGTGCCTTGCGCACGCTCCCTACCCAGGAATGCAAAATCACGTGTATATATACGTGATTTTGCACACCCATGCCACCCTGTAGCCAGTGGTGTATTTTGGTTTTGTGATGCCCTAGGCAAGACTAAAATCGGGCACCCCCTATCTAAATTCATCCCCTTCCTGTTAAAATCCATCCCTTCATCTGTAAACTCCACCCTTCCTCTTTAGGCTCCACCTCTTCCTATAAGAGCTCCACCTCTTATTTTATTCCATTATCTGTGTCATTTTAAGGAATAATGCCCCATCAGTGGAAGAATAGTACCCCATCACTGGTGTCAGTGGGAGGAATAGTGCTCCATCATTGGTATCAGTGGGAGGAATAGTCCCCCATCGTTGGTGTCAGTGGGTGGAATAGTGTCCCATCGTTGGTGTCAGTGGGTGGAATAGTGTCCCATCGTTGGTGTCAGTGGGTGGAATAGTGTCCCATCGTTGGTGTCAGTGGGTGGAATAGTGTCCCATCGTTGGTGTCAGTGGGAGGAATACTGTCCCATCCTTGGTGTCAGTGGGAGGAATAGTGTTCCATCATTGGTGTCAGTGGGAGGAATAGTGTCCCATCATTGGTGTCAGTGGGAGGAATAGTGGGATATTCCTCCCACACTGACACCAATGATGGGGCTCTATGCCTCCCACTGACACCAATGATGGGACACTATTCCTCCCACTGACACAAATGATGGGGCACTATTAATCCCACTGACACCAATGATGGGACACTATTCCTCCCACTGACACCAATGATGGGGCACTATTCCTCCCACACTGACACTAATGATGGGGCACTATTCCTCCCACTGACATCAATGATGGTACACTATTCCTCCCACTGACACCAATGATGGTACACTATTCCTCCCACACTGACACTAATGATGGAGCACTCCCACTGCCAATCCCACTGACACCAATGATGCTTACATTGCTGACCCCTGCTCCAGCCCGGGCTCCCTCCCTCTCCAATCCATAGCCATCATACCTGGCTACAGCAGCACCATCTGCTCTGCCCAGATCTCGGCTGCACAGACACTTACCTTACCGATCAGCTGTCTTCCTTCTCTGGCCGCTCTCCTCCTCTTCACCGCCTGCGGCTGGTCCTTCACTCCAATCAGCTTCTTCGATCTTCATGCTGCCGCTCGGCTCCTCCTCTCCAAGCTCCGCCACCTCACCAGTGATTGGTTGCCTGGGTGCTTTCCCTGAGCTACAGATCCTGTGGCCTATCACCGGCGAGAAGGCAGATCTTGGAGAGGAAGGGACAGGCTGCCATAGGCTAATTAATAAAATACTTGTGAGCCACTAGAAGTTTTCTTACTTATAGAGCAATAAATTCTGTGTATGAAACTAATAAATCGATAACCGTGTGCTTAATTAAATAATAAATATTTAGATCGCCAGGTACTTTTTACACCCTCTCCAGGTGTATGGATGTTAATTTCATATATCTATATTGTACCGCGCTCCAAAATTAATAAATCTAAGTGCTCTAAATAAATAAATAAATAATTGTATATAACTAAAAATTCAATAATAAATCTATATCCATAATACTTAAATTCATAATTGCATAATACTTGAATCCATGATAGAAGTGAAAAAATTCCATTAATATTGTAAATCAATACATAAAAAACTTCGTGCCTGAAAAACTATTTAAAAAAAAAAATAAATAAATAAAATAAAATAAACTGGAAGAAAATTTTGTATGAATTAATAATAGTTCAGTTCATACGAATTGAGATGGTAATGTGAATCAATCTGACTGGCGTGGTAAGTCTATGTTCATGGCATGAACCTCTCTCTCCTTCCTCCTCTCCTTTCTCCTCAATTCAGCTTTTCTCAATTAGGACTTTCTCCTCTATCTGCTTGGCTTATTCCTCCATAAACGATGCATACATAGAAAAGGGAAAAAGAAACATAGTGTCTTATCCTTAGTAAAAATGTTTAATGAGCTTCTGATCTCCCACTCACATGGTATCAGCAAAAGTAACGCTTTGTGTAAATAAATCCAGGTCCTCCTGCAAACAGCCCTGCAGTGTGTGTGTGTTCACTCGCTATACTCGCCGTTTCCTCTGTGGATGCGTGATGACGTCACCGCCCCTCCCCTACGCGTTACGCTACAGGGACTCGTAGCTTCCTCTGGGGGATGTAGTTTTAGATGTCATCCTGCACCGAAGGTTATATATATCCTACCGACGCCATTTTTGGTATGATTTAATCGTTCTTGGTGCCCACTCCATATTAAAGGAGTCCGAATTAGACCACAATGATAACAATATAATATATATTAATAGTGCGCCTCTTCATCCTCCGGCTGCATATCGAATGCTTCCACACACACCTTTCACAATTGGGATTGCAAACTCCTACTTTTACATCGCCATAAAGATAATGATAATCATTACTATAATGTCCACAATTTACATACCATATCTCCATAATAAACATTTTAATTCATTTATAAACATTTTTAATAGAAATAACCTTAAAATGAATATGACAATAGCTAATTTGATAATATGCTAAAATATAAAAAAATAAAAATGAAAATAAAAAAAAAAAATAAAAATGACAATGAAAATGAAAATAAAGATAAAAATAAAAATAAAAATAAAAATAAATAAAAATATAAATAAATAAAAAAAAAAAAAAATAAAAATAAAAATAATAATAAATAAAAAAAAAAAAATAAAATAAGAATAAAATACAAAAAATGAAATAAAAATAAAAATAAAAATAAAATAAAAATAAAATAAAAAAAAAAAAAAATAAAAATAAAAATAATAAAAAAAATTAAATAAAAATAGAAAATGAACCTATTACTAAAATATTTAAATATTCAGCGGTACAAAAATTATGTATTATATTAAAAATGCTAAAAAAAGCATCAACCTTTCCTTAAAAATTATTTTTATATACTATTCTTTAATTGACGTTTTGAACGTAAACACATCTATATTTCCCCATATTATTTTACTCTATATAAGAAATATATTATTATACTCCTTAATTCATATTAATATCAATAATCACTCAGGAAACAAGCTAAGTCAAATTCCTTATTTAATCCCAGCGGGTGCAAAGAATTCATTTGATAAATCCACTGGGATTCTTTTTTACTAATTTCTCTGACAAGGTTATCCCCTCTCCAGTGTGCCTTATGCTTGTCTATTCCCCAAAATTCTAATCCTTCTGTTTTCTGGCCATGGTGTAATTTAAAATGTAATGATACATTATGATATTTATATCCTTTTGAAATATTTCTAACATGCTCCTTTATTCTTTCTTTTAGCATGCGTTTTGTTCTTCCTATGTAGATTTTATTACACGGACATTTTAATGCATATATTACCCCCTTAGTGTCACATGTTATAAATTGATTTATCTTAAATATTTTTCCACTTATTGGATTAGTGAAATTCAATCTATTCCTGGGGTTATTCTTTGTTCTAATACAACTATAGCATCTTCCACATTTATAAAAACCAATTCCCTGAAAAAATGAGAGTGAATTTTGTTTGGGGGGATCTAATATATTCTTTACTACCTTATCTCTAATGTTGGGAGCTTTTTTGTAAATGAATCTTGGGTTATCCGGAATGCTATCTTTCAAATCTTTGTCCAGTTTCAATATATCCCAATGTTTTTTAATTATTTTTTGCACATCTTTATATTGTTTATTATAAGGCATTATGATACTCGTAGCATTATCCATATTAGTATTATCATGACTTTTTATTAGTAATTTACTTCTATCCAATGCACCTACCCTGTCTCTTTCTTCATCTATATACTCTTTTTTATACCCTTTACTGATAAATCTCTTTACAAGGATGTCACTCTGTTCCTGATAGTCTCTATCATGTGTACAATTACGTCTCAGTCTTGTGAACTGCCCTCTGGGTATATTCTTAATCCATGCCTTATGATGGCAACTATGGGTAGGTATATACGAATTTCTATCAGTGTTTTTAAAGTAATTCTTTGTAGAGATAGATGATCCTTCTTTAACTAACCATATATCTAAAAAAATTAATTATTGTATCACTGCTATTCCAGCTAAGTGTTATGTTATTGTGATTGTTATTTAATTCCATATAGAATTGCTCTAGTGATATATCATCTCCTCTCCATACTAGAATGATGTCATCTATAAAGCGATGGTATGCTATAAGCTCTTGTTTTGGATTTTTATAAATAGTGTCTTCCTCCCATTGTGCCATATATAGATTTGCTATGCTAGGGGCAAAACGTGCCCCCATTGCTACTCCTTTGACTTGCAAAAAATATTTGTTATTGTACCAAAAGAAATTGTGTTTAAGACAAAATGTTAAACATTTAATAAGATATTTTTTCTGTCTTTTATGTAAATCAGAGTACTTATCCAATGCCCACTTAGCTGCTTCAATTGCCCCATCATGGTCTATATTTGTGTACAATGAGGTGACATCCGCTGTACTTAGTATACTATCATCAGTGAGTGGTAGGTTTTGCATCAGTTTAATAACATGTCTAGTATCCTTCAAATATGCCTGCGTTTGTACTACTAATGGCTGCAAATATTGATCTATATATTCCCCCATCCTTGCTGTTAAAGAATCTATCCCATTAATAATGGGTCTAAATGGGGGATTCACAGGATCTTTGTGGATTTTTGGTATTGAGTATATTATAGGCAGTTTACATACTGTTGGCACCAGATATTTTGCCTCTTTATCATTTAATATGTGCTTTTTATTTCCATAATTTACTAACTTTATTAACTCTTTTTTATACTCTTTATTTGGATTGTTCTTAAGCTCCAGATATGTACTTTCATCTTTTAACATTTCCTCCATAGAATGTTCATAAAATGTTTTCGATAATATAACTATACCGCCCCCCTTATCTGCCGGCCTAATCACTATATTTTTTCTATCTTTGAGGCTATTAATACCTTTCTCAAGGATATGGTTATGCTTGTACTTTTGTATTTTCAATTTTTCTAGATCACCTGTTACTAATTTTTTAAAAGTGTTTATATATGTGTTATCACTAGATTTGGGGTTGAAAACAGATTTATTTTTCAGATCACTGTGTTGATATTTCAATGTTTTGGCCACTTGATTATGTTCTATCGGGTTTTGAGCATAATATTTCTTGATATTTAATTTTCTTATAAATTTTTGTAAACTAACGTACATTTCAAATTTATTCAATCCTTTATTCGGAGCAAACTTTAAGCCCTGATCTAGTGCGTGTATTTCTTCTTGTTTAAGGGGTGTTCCGCTCAAATTAAAAATTCCTTCACCTTTTACACTCTCCTTCTTTTTTTGTTTATGTTTTCTTCCTCCTCTGTTTCCCCTCTTTCTGCAATGTTTTGATTTACTTCTGCAGGATGTTGATTCAACTCTAAAAAAGGGTTTGGTAGAGGTGTGTATGATTCCTCTGATTCTAGTGGAGAATACCTATTTGACAAAGGGACATTAAATGATTGTGGTGTATTTCTCATCTGATTGTTATTTACATATTCTGATGTATATCCATATGTATATCATTTCTGTATTCATTTCTATAATTTGGGCCATAATTTCTTACTTGATTGTAA